AATTCTGTTATTTCAGACTGGTAATGAATTAAGTAAAGGAAATACTTATGAGAGGCTCATAGGTCACATGGTCACCTGAGCATTTTATGCTCGATTTGACGAATACATGTACTGTGTAAATTATAGAATTATTTTGACCTTTTCCTTGGTAAGTCCAATATGAAGGAGTGTGCATTTAGAGGCAAACACCTTAGTGCGGGTATTACTGTCTCATGACAGCATCTAGTTTTCATAGCTCTTTATCACAAAATACCTACTAAGTTTACCTGGCTTCCCTTAATGAATTCCATTCCTTTTAAAACATTCGCGAATTACAACAAACTTGATCTTTACTCAATAATAACTTACTATACTTCATATCCTGCCTATCCATCCAAATTCATTCACCAAATTCAGTGTTCTTTTACATAAGTGCATTGTCATACTTTCGCAAAATTAACCATCTCCAGACCCTACTAAATACTTCCAAATCACAATAGCACTACACGGCTTAAAGCGTAACAACAGGGTCTTTCCCGATAATCGCCTTCCAATAGCTAACAATTTTGAGAAAAATGCCTCGTACCTGCAATCAGTGTGTTCCTCCACTAATGAGGTTGAACTGTTCACATGTGCATTCTCATTGGTATATTTCGCGTTGTTTCGAGTAGGGGTATTCACTTTAATCAAGCTGAACATTCCCAATTCCTCCCATTGCATACAACTCCAACATATACAAGCTCACTCGCACAAGCTACCCATACCGCACTCTAAAACTGACCAGGTCGGTAAGACTACTACCTTTATTATCCACAGTCAACTGCATTCAATTCTGCGCCCAGGTAAAGCTACAATGGTTTTCATGGAGTGTAGACCCAATACCCATAGAAAGCACTGCAGTTTCCTAATTCATCTTTGTACAAAAACATTAACTAGGTACCAATTCAATGCAGTTCTTCAAGGGGCAATGAAAAACATACCAATGCAAGGCCATTTTGGCACACACAGTTTCCGAATTGGCAGAGCAACAGGCCTCACATTACAGGGCACATCTAATTCTGGCATTCAGAAGTTTGGTAGATGGAAATCTAAAACTTTTCTGAAATACTTAAGGAACATGTAATTCCTATTCCGGCAACACCCCTATACCTCTGTATTATACACACATCCACCCATCATGTGTGTGTGTGTGTGTGTGTGTGTTTTTTTGGGGGGGAGGGGGGTTAGAGACATGTATAGTCCTATCAATATCGAAGAGTATTAACCAACTAAAGAGCATTGCAGGTTCTAAAATAAGGATCGTAGGATCCTTTATCCCTTATTGGGCAGGGGGAAGCGGCCAAAACGCAGTCAAGGGGGATAACTTAACTTTCCTGCAACACTTCTATGACGAACACGCAGGATGGTGCGCTGGCATGAATTGGACCCACATATCCTACAGGTCACCAAGCGAGAAGAACCCAAAACTATATAGCTGTCCATTTACGATCCAATAACTTGGTAACTCAAAACTTAACTAGTAAAAAAGTTATACAAGAGGTTCAGTGTAGCTTCCTGTGGTATAACACTCTTTTTCCAAGCACTAAATTGGTGTGGTCACACATTTTAGCTCGCTGTTACTGGCATGAAGCCCCATTGAACAGTGAAAATAGGATTGACAAGAGACGCAAAAGTATTAACAGAAATATCTTTGTCACAGAATTGGGAGGAGGTGTGATTTCACATACAAATTAAATATATCTGTTGCCAATATTGACTTGTATAGATTTGATGGTACTCACCACTCAGACCTTGGCAACAGAACCTTTTTGAATAACCTAGAACAAGGATTGTGGTCCCTTACCCAAGGGAAGGGGAAGGTATCCCCGATGCTAAAGTGATAGAGGCTCATCATTTGGCGGATCCAGAAGGTTTTGAACGTTTATGGCTCGTTTTTTTCCATACCCAGCCATCATACATGATGATTCGTGCAATGTCGGGTAGACAGGTTGTTAACAGATGTATCCAATTTATAGCAATGTTAAAAATCAAGCAAAAAGTTTTCGATTGGGGTAATAGTCAAGCTTTCAGGCTTGGGGCCCCCTCCTCTTCTAATAACAGTAGGGGAGGCTTAGTACTGGAGTTCTTGGGAACAATAGTACTACGGACCAGAAGCAATCACTGGGAAACGGGATATACAGATGTGCTCTCAACTCTCTCGGGCCCAAATGTCTAGCACCTAAATGATAATGTAAATTTAAAAAGAGATTGGCGAACAAGACGTGCAGAATGCCCTAAATTTCATATATATAAAAATCATATTCAATTTGTGAATTTAGTATTTAGAACAAAGTGACAATATGACAAACAAAACTTTTGTGAAGACAATTTTCTCGGCAAAAATTACTCTATTACTAAGAACCTTGACAATAAAAATCCTGAGCATCATTTTCCTTTGAGATCAAGACGCTAACAACTACGCTACACAACTCTTGATGAATATTAGTATTTAAATCATGCTTGTGATATGGCCTTGACTAAATGGACTTCGAGTATTCTCAGAACTGAAGGATACAAATGTTGTGTCCTAAAAGTGTTCTTTAAGGTATAGTGGGTCTATGCTCCATATTTTTGTTAACCAAATAATGTATTTTTCACACAAACTTAGTGTATAAACTTTCAAAAAAATGGAGCAAGGACCCACTCATATAGAAAAATTGTGTAATACTATGAGAAAATGATCCTTTTTGCCCTCTTTGGTGTGTATGCTATTTCAAAAACAAATATTTTTATGAGATTTTTGCAAAGAGTAGAGATTTTACATAAAGTGTACTTTTAATGATAGAAGAAATATAAAAGAAAATTTGTTATAATTAGGTTTAATTTTTCACCTTCATATTTGTCGCACTGTAGGCATTTGCTCGCCTTGTTCGTCCATCTTCTTTTTAATAAATTTTTATGGCTATATGTTATTGGATAGATTATATATTTATTAGGTCTACTTCATACAAATACTCCTATGATTTATAGTTAAATTTCGCAATCAAGGACTAAAAAAAGGTAACAGAAACTTTTATTTGATTGGAATGACATACATGTGGAGCATAGATTAGCATCTTTGAGCTTTTAGCTGCCGTACACCTAATTACATGTAAGTTGTACTTAAGCACTGATAGAATTGCATGCATGTCAGCTGATAAATTACTTGATTATGTCGTTACTCTTTATTAGTCCACCTGATACGCTCCACTATTTAATATTTACATTTCCAATGTCTTTGTCCGAGATAAAATGTCAAATAGTAAAAAATGACGACGCGCTAATTACCCCGTATGCGTATTTAAGTTATTTTTTGATAAGTTTTTGATAAAAATATGTACTTTGAAATAAGAAAAAAATACATATCCGAGTAACCGAGTACCATTTTTAGTATTCGATATTCGAACGTTCGATCGAGTACCCGGTTAACCGGGTACTCGTTGACATCCCTAGTAAAAATACTTTATTTCTGCATAAATCTACTGGTTCATCGAAAGGCGTAGTGAAAAAAAAAATCACGTGCGGGGCGGGACAAATAGAGACAGAAGCGGGGCTTGTAGCACGTGACTTTGCAGAATCAAGAGCATGTAAATTTAAGGAATAACTGTCAGATTTTTTTGGTTTCATGACGATGATCAATCGATTGGCTTGCGTGATAATTTTATGCATAAACGCCTTCGGCGTTTAATTAGAATTTTTAAGGACCACAATAGATTAAAAAAAAATTTAAAAATTATTCCTTAAACAAAATAATGTAAAATACTTAACAAAAAATGTTTTCTTTTTCCTTCGCAAACTCATCGTGATTCTGAAAAATACTAAGTGCTCATGAAATACAAGTGCACTGCAGTTGACACCTTACTATATATATGCAGTAAAATAATGTTTGAGTTTTACGACACCACTGTTTACAGAAATTCATTAAGATACTAAACAGGTTTCAGAAGACACAAATTCTTGGTAGTCCATCAAGTTTTACTTATTCTTTGAAACGGGACCCTTAACATAAATACTGTAGTGAATTCTTACCTTACTATAGTTATCTATAGTTTACTGTAGTATAAAAGTAAATACATTGATTTACTATAGTGAACACAATATGTAATTTACCGATTTAAATCTGGTATTTTGATTAACTTTAGTAAAAACATATATTTATTTATTTATTTTGAGTAATTTATTTACCATATTCAAGTACAGTAAACGGTTGTTTGGTATGCTAACTACAGCTCACATTACCAACTACAGTTCATAATAGTAAACTGTAATTTTTTATAGCATCAAAATACACGTTTTGATTTATTATAAATAAAGGTTGTCAACGAGTAACCGAAAAATCGTGCAAATATTTTCAACAATCAATGCGTCAAACTGTTTACACTTTTTCATAATTGATATTTATTTTATTTCAGGTTGTTTTCATTCATTTTTATTGCGCATCCTTGGGTACGTATTTCTTCTTTGAATATTTTGTTAAAAGTTGGACCTTTTTTTAACTCATGAGAAATCACCTATAATCTCGGCATCAATGAGGCAGATAATGAATAAGATCAACGAAATTTATATATAAGGGTCTCAAAGTTATTAACTCAACTGTTAAAAACCCTAATGAAAAGATATTGAAATTGCTTATGTATCAAAGGCAACTATGTTATGGGTGAATTGAATTACAAACTGTTATAACAGACTCAAAATCTGTTATTGTTTTTCAATACGTAGCATCAACGAAATCGAACAACCTTAATACAGCGTTATCAACAGCAATACTCGTAACTAATGTACAAACACCAACATCAACAAACAACTCATCGTCTTCAACATCAGCACCGACAACTTCAAATTAGTAAGCACATTTGATAACTTTATTTTATTTTATTGAGATGCTAAATATCGAATATGGTCTGCAGTTTTTTTTTTCTTTTTGCAAAGTCCATATATAAATTGACCAATGAAAATAGATGACTTTCTTGTTATCATTTTTTGTTATGGTCACAAGCGGAATTATGTGGCTTTCTTTTCTTTCGAGTGCACTCCAATCAAGTGACAGGGTTGAAGTACTACAGCCTGAACGTACGGAGGTATCGAGGATTGACATATCCTTTAAAGAAGGGCCGGGTATTTCATCGTCTCCAGTGTTTGATGTCTATCTTGGAGAATGTTTCTACATGTTTATCATATACACAGGTGGTAAGTTATTTAAATTCAGCTTCTGATACATGTATTACTTTTACTTGTCTTTTAAAAGTCCTTTTTCGTGTAATTTATAAATGCATATTTTATCGGTTTACTGTAGATTATCAACAATTGTTTAGTGATATAGATAGATTGACACCCACACTCATACATAGCGGAAACCTTTCTTTATTTTGTAAGAACACCATGTCATCAAACCTGAAGAGTGCAAAGCCTTCTCTGGCACAGTAGTTGATGAGAGCTTAGAAAACGTGACTCTGTGGGATAAAAGGTAATTAGCAGACATATATTTGCACTTATTTAGAATTTTGATTGTTCTACATATCGCACAAGAAACACTTTAGGAGAACAATTGTTTGCAATTTGATTTTAGAATCATAACCAATCGTAATTTCGGTCTGTAACTCAATTATATAGAAATGAAATAGCTCAATTATCAAGAACAAAAGGAGAGAAAAAACTAAATTTATAGAGCAGAGTTTTTGGCAAAACCAATGAAGAATTTTTTATAAGTATCAAATCAACAGTTTCTCAACTGTTGGTGCATGTGTTTGATTAAGACGTTCTTGAAAGGATATGTAGACAAAGAGTATCCTTCAAATAGTCCTCAAGTTGTGCTGCCAGTCCAATATTTAAAATCAGGACTCTAACAGGTATCCAACAGTGGACCCATTTGATTCTTTAAAATGGGAGGATTTTTAATTCATTGAATCAGCCTCTTCATGCGCTGAATCAAAAAAGTGTTGAAGAATTTTTTAACCAGGAACATCTACAGGAGTGAGTGAAAATTCGGCAATATTATTACGCAGATTGGCGGATTCAAAATTGATGACATTTAGGGAATAAAAAATAGTAAAATATCACAATATGGGGAGGTCTAGAGAATTTAAATAAAACACAATTTAGACAATTTCAAACGTTGAAGTGATTTATTTCCATATTTAAAGGGTCATAGGAAAGCGAAAACGCTTACTCTAAATATCAAATAGATATGGGTTATATCCAAAATATTCGACTTTTAATTAACTTGAATTTTCACTGTACTCAGCTGATCTCTAAGAAAAAAACTGCACTTGTTCTGAAACTGGTTTATAGTTCTTCGTGTTCGTAGCAAATACTGTCACCAGTCTTGCGTCACTAGCAAACAGTGCACACACCTGTACTTGCAAGACATGTGAAACTCTGGGTGGATGGCACAAATAAGGTACAAAAATATTCAATAATAATTTTTTTTTTTTTTTTTTTTTTTTTTTTTTTTTTTTTTTGCCAGAATGATGAACTATAGTTCTCGTGTCCGTAGCAAATACTGTCACCAGTCTTGTCTCACTAGCAAACAGTGCACACACCTGTGCTTGCAAGACATATGAAACTCTGGAGGAATGGCACAGATATGGTGCAAAGATATTTAGAAATGTTTTTTTGGCAGAATGATGAACTGTATTTTGTCGCAACTTTACATTTGCATCCGCATCAAATAGCTGCAGAACTGTAGCTCTCCGGAAAAAAAATTGACAGACCGGAGAGCTACAGTGCCACCCATAGAAAAAACTGTATATTTATTGCGTAAAAAGGTGCGCTCGGTTCTGAGTTTATTTCTCCAAATTCTTACCTCAACTGCACAAAAGCTCGATTTCAAAAAATTCCTTAGACCTCTATCAACTACTCTTGTAGTTGACATCTTTACGAAGCATGTTTGGGCGAATTGTCTAGCCACCCAAAATGGCAGTATTAACAGGCGAAATTTTGGATGGTCTTAATTTCAGACTCAGGAGGGCTATTTACAACGGTTATAGGAAATGTTTTGATGTGGGAATAGTGCAAAAATGTGTTAGGAACACATGGTCAGTAAAAGTTTGAGATTGCAGTTTAAAAATACGGAGAAATAAATCGAGAAACAGCGCACTTTTTTGTGCGCAATAAATATACAGTTTTTTCTATGGGTGGCACCGGTCTGTCAATTTTTTTTTCGGAGAGCTACAGTTCTGCAGCTACCGCAACAAATAGCCTAGGTCTACACAATTGCGATCAGAAATCTGTGCAGGTGTTGTATAACCATTCCGTTATTAAATTTAAAAAAAAAAAAAAAAAGAAAAAGCACACACACACCCACACACACACCCTCACACACTTTCAATGATTAAAATTCTTGCGACGTAATTGTATGATTATTAACGAGCAATAATCATGAAAGTAATATAATTGTTGTAATAGTATAATCATAGACCTTAGGTCTATGGTATAATCAATATTCATTTATGAAAAAATTGTCAATCGAAAAATAACCTATATATTTTCCTGAAAAAGACTGAGAAGGCAGCTAGCATAGAAATATGAATACTTCTTATTTGCATTTCTGGGGAAACAGCGATTTTCTTAAAATCATTTTACATTAATTTTGTTTTCTTCCACGTATTACATACAAATCGATATTCTAAAATTTGTTGTAATGTTGTTTCTGTTGATCATGAATGGAACTATATTTTTTTTTCAGAACAAATGTGTGAAGAGTAGCTGACTTCAGTTACTAATATATCCTGAATAGATACATTGAATATATTACAAATCCAGATGATCTGGATCTTAAGTTTAATTACTATTTTGTTATTCAACTTGGTCTACTGTCCAATATTTGGTTAAATGATAAACTGTAAAAGCCAATATTGGACTGGAAGGGTTAAATATTGCACTCTTTCAGCATTCAAGAGAATTTGCCTAAAATACCAGTATTAAAATTAGACAATGTAATTAGACTACAAAAAGATGACGTCATACAAATATTTTCATCAAGAAGAAAATTGATTAAATTTTCAGATAATTAATCTCGAATATATTGATCATAAAAATGTATATACAAAATGTATATATGAAAATAGTTCCTCCAACGGGATTCGAACCAATGCTTATCTACCGTTCACGGTAGCTCTGTCGGTAGAGCGCTTGCTCCGTGATCGGGAGGTCGTGAGTTCGAATCTCGGCTGCGACTGACCTAAGTCGATAAAAAATGGGTAGCAACTGTTCCTTCGTCATGCGCTCGGCACTTTGAAGAGAAAGTTGCGGGTCCTTCGGATGAGACCTTAAAAACCGAGGCCCCGTGTCACGGCAGGCGTCGGCACAATAAAGATCCCTCACTGCTCAATGGCCCTGAGTGCCGAGTAAAGGTCAAAATTTAAAGCCCTTCACCGGTATATGGTGACGTCTCAATTTGAGTGAAAAATTCTCGAATGGGACGTAAAACAACATACAATCAATCAATCAATCGATCGATCTAACCGACTGAACCTATGTCGCACTAAAGACTTATATGTTATTCAGGTTGTGGGCCAAAACTGAAAATGAAAATTATTTTGACCAAATGTGGTATCCTGCTATATCTATTGGTAATTTTTTCGGCATTTAGAAAAGTTTCAAACTTTGTTTTCCTTGGCAGAAAAATTTACCCTTTCGTGTATATTCCGGATTTCACGTTCTTATTGGCTTTAAACTATTGTCCCCTCAAAGAGATGCATTCTATTGTGTTCATCCCACGAATTATTGTACTGATAAGCAAAGCTTTTAATCATTGGCATGACTTTCAATTGCAGATCTTGTAACTCTTCAAAGAACAACATCTTAATGGATAATTTCACACAGATGACGCCTCAAGTTTTACGAGCTCCTTTATATGGATTTCACTTTGTCTCAAGTTCATATGTTACCATCGAATGTACAGTTCGTATCTGTAGACAAAATACAACCTGTGATAAATCGGTATGTGAGTAAAATAACTCCATTATAAAAGATATTAGCTAATCAGTGGACGTATATTTGATTTTCATTATGAGCGATATACTTTTAGATTTGTGCTCAAAGAAGTAAACGACGTCGCAGGAAGGACCCATTTGCTCTTGGTTCTTCGTCTTTCCAAGTTCTGAATGGGAATAGAATTCCCGGTGAGAAATTATATATATAATAGATATATAAATATATATATATATATAGAGAGAGAGAGAGAGAGAGAGAGAGAACGTATCTTTAAACAGAAAAGATGAGTTCCTCAGAAATAATGTTAAAGGGTTACAAAGGTGTTTAATTCTGACTGAACTTGTACTATATCATTTTTTAGGAGGGAGGGTTAAAATACAACTTCTATCTAAGATTCTTCCTAAGCTGATACCTCTATCACAATTAGAAAAGATAAGAGACGGCCTAAGCAAAATTACTCGTATACTATATAAAGGTTTGGAAATTCTTTTGATTGAGGAGGGGGTATTCACAAACAGTACACCTATTCGGGGATGTCTGAATTGACCAAAACTGCACTCATATTCTTTCATATTTTCTTTAACCGAAGCTATATTGAATGTATCATACATGTATCTATATGCATTTGCCTAAAGTTATATACTATTGCTAAGTAATTCAGTAATTTCTGTTCCAAAGAAACTATGATATTGTAGGATCTGAATCTTTTTACACAAAAAAGGGGCTAAGAAATCAAATACGTATTGATGTAGCTAAATAAAAGATAGCTGTATAGATTTTTGTAGCATTTTAAAGAAGTTTATCTTTTTTAATATATACTAGACTTTGACCCGTGCGTGCACGGGTTGACATTGTTATGAATGCATCCATGTGCATATATCGGACATTTACAAAATAGATACATCGACACATTCATATATTGTAAGGTACTTTTGAAATAAACAATGAATGTGAATATAATTCTGTTTTTGTTTTTTGTTGTTGTTGTTTTTTTTTTTCAAAATTGTTGCGTAACGGCGTAGCGCAGAATGGGTTTGACCCCCATTTAGCTATAAATCAAGTCATGAGTTCGAATCACTCCGGAGCTTACATAAATTTCACCTTTCCAAACAGATTTAATAAAAGAAATTATGGATATTTATTGAAAATATGACAACAACAAAGAGTTGAGCACTGCTGATACATATCAAGCAAAGTAATGAAAATGAAGAAATGTGTTTAGCTGGTACTTTTACACAATTAGTTATTAAACTAAAGGTGTAAAAAATTTTGTAACAATTTTAACACTGCAGGTCTCAACTTGTTCAAAATATGACCTCAACAATAAAAGAGTTATTAAGCACTGCTAATACATATAGTTTATATGTACACAGGTAATAGACATGTATATAATCTGTAAAAGCAGAAATGAAAATGGACAAATGTGCTATACTGGTATTTCTACACAATTTAGCAGATGTGAAGCACAACAGATTATCTTGCAAATAACCCCCCCCCCCCCCAAAAAAAAAAAAAACATACTGGTTGTTCAAGAGATCATAATAAAAATTAATAATATCAGGTGTATTTTTTCTTGTGGCGATTTAATAAAACATAAGTTTGTTTGCTACGATTAAATATAATTCATTTCATCATTGAATAAATATTTTTACGATCTTAATTTTGTCCCACCTCATAGTTTTGAGAATTACTATGTATGGATTAAATTTTACAAACAATCGATATTTTATCAGCATTGATAGAATGAACTGTACGGGCCGCAAGGGCTGACTTCAGACTACCTATCAAGCGTAGTTACCACGACAACCTTTACATATTTAGAAGAACAGGCTGTCCCTTCTGTATACATATTTCACCCACTATTTTTTCAAAGTTAAAGAAATTTTTGGAGGTGAAGTTATAAATCTCAGCAGTGAAAGTAATAGTAAACATGGCGAACAAATTCAAGTTGCAATCATTTAGACACATTTCAAATTGAAAATATCGGTTATATTGACGTTATTTGATTATTTCGATTTATTTCAAAGTTAAGAAATGAAAATAATGTTATTGTAATTTCTGGCGGAAAAAGAATGCATAGTTTCATTAAGATGTGATTCTAGCTGGAGTTGTAACATCCCCCTTTCCCCTCAAAAAAGCATAAAAGAAAATAAGGATAAAATAAAATCGGGTGCATGGTTACATTAATATTACTCCTACGATCATGAGCTTTTTGCCTCCGTTGAGATGACCAGAGACGTAAATAACTTATAATAAATGCGTCTCCGAAATGGCGAATGATTACCCAAGTGGCCACAATATCACATTTGCATGGATAAACTCAGAAACATAAATACAAATACGTGTAAATTTTCATTGGAAATTTGCTATATATTTTGTTCATATATATTTATGATTTCTTATTTGAGAAAATTATAAAATAACAAATATATATCTACTTAGTTCAAATTACTTTTGTCTTCTCTGATTTGAACGGCGTGATTTAGCGTGAATGTAATACGCACGCGCAAGATTGTAAAATCCAGATGATTTCCGGAATTTTTTGAGGAATTTTCGTTGATTATTAATTAGCGAAGCTTAATTGAGAAAAAATAAAAACAAATTGGTAATCTTCAAGTACCAATGATGTTTAAAATATATAAAACAAACGACAGTACTCTTCCGATTTATCGGTATTAAAGGCCAAAAATTCGAGTCTATTATTTTAATATAGTAGTATAGATTCATACAATGACCTTGTCAGCAAATACATTCTATCATTGGTCGTATTTTGACTGACATATTTCATACCAATTGTTGGGCCTTTGTTTTATACTAAATTTGACTACAGATTATTCCGTCTACCTGATCAATACATGTACATAGGGCTCGAGGCGGATGTGACCATGGACAGGGGATGCTTATTCCTCCTGGACACCTGATCCCACCTCTGGAATTTCCAGAGGTCCGTGTTTTTTTTTTTTATCCTGTACACAAATTTGCGCTGTTTGCAGGATTTTTGAGATAGATAATTATTTTCACCTTTTTCAATCATTCTTTAGTTTCATAACTTTTAAGTTTTTAGGATGTAATATTGTGAAAATATCGCTAACTATGAAATAATGTGGATTGTTTTGTGTTTGTAGGTGGAGCGGATACAATTCCCGTACTTCACCGATTCACACTGGGTTGCATGGTTGTAATGGCTCTTTCTATCAAGACTCCATGTATATAGAATATATTTTATTAAGTAATCAGTGCTTAAAAATTGCATCATGATGTTAATGTACTTAAGAGGTGATAGAATAAAAACCAAGGCTATTAATCTGAAAGTAAATAAAGCAAATACATTATATACAATAATTATTGCAAATCAAGTACACTTGATTTCTAGTGTAGTTTCACAGAAAATAAGATACATTTAAGTTCATGTGTAAGTCTTTAGATTGTACCTATCATGTGTGCACTATGGAGTAGCTTCCGATGATTTCTTCGCGAATTCGGTTGCGAAATGACCACGAATATTAGCACTTCGCCTAAATCTTGCGCCACAGTAAATTTTAAATGATGGAGAACCCCGCAAATGTGAAAGGGAAATTCCTGAAAAGTTTCTTTATTAAAAAAATCAAATTTGCTTTTATATCATATGGAAAATTCCCAATGTGTAAATTAATTCAGATGCAATTAAAACTGGCAAAATCTAATGAGATTTTAAACTTAGAAAAAAGGAACATGTAAAACATGATATTTAATGGTATTTTTGTGCAGTATGTGAAATATAGGGTTGTAATAAATTCAATTATTCGTATTATATATACGAGAGTCATTCAATAAATAATGCAATAGTGCACCCATGTTTCCTCATCCATCACGCAAATTTAACAACTCTTCTATTTTGTTAAAATATTTGTTTTTAAGTAGACTGTTGGCACATTTAATGCGTATTTTTCTATTAGGCAATTTTAAGAAATAAGGCACATATCTGATAGAAATATTATTATATTCATTTCCGTTGTCAGAATTCTATATAATGTTATGACGATGAAATGCTTAGTGTTCTAGCAATGTCTTTGGATGTAAATCTGACATTTTCAGATATCATGTTGCACATTGCATGGATAATTTTTGGTATCCCTACAAATTTCAATCGACCAGTTTGATTTTTACATTCTAACTCTTCTTTTTTACTTTTGAATTTCTGAATCAATCTATACAGCGTTAAAGACTATTCTTTCCAATTATAAAAATCATATCTTTAATAATTATGAGTTCTTCGGCGATTTATGTAAAGAAGCACAGTTTACACATACGCTCTCATTTTCGTCTTTTTTGGAAGAGATCATTTTAATGACCATTGCATACTTTTAAAGTGAATTTCTTTACCAGGACAGTTATCACAGGACCATACGAAGAGAGAAGAAAATGTAGATACAGTATTTGAATCTGTAGACAGCAGCTTAAAATCTATCTCCTACTTTCATACTCCTTGCTTGTGTTGATTGATTGTATGTTGTTTTACGTCCCGTTCTAGAATTTTTCACTCATATAGAGACGTCACCATATACCGGTGAAGGACTTCAAATTTAGACCTTTACTCAGCACTCAGGGTCATTGAGCAGTGAGGGATCTTTATCGTGCCAACGCCTGCCGTTGCACGGGGCCTCGGTTTTTAAGTTCTCATCCGAAAGACCCACAACTTAAGCCCCAAAGTGCCGAGCACTTAACGAATGGAGAGTTGCTACGTTTTTTTTTTTGTATCGACTTGGGCCAGTCGCGGCAGGGGTTTGACCCCAAGACCTTCCGATCATGGAGCGAATGCTCTACCAACTGAGCTACGTGACGATCCTTGCTCGTGTTTATATGTTGTAGAATTTCGCCTGACCTTGTGAAGCCTTCTCTTATGTAAAAAATTGAAGATAACGAACAGTGATTAAACTCAATCGGATATATCAGCTGTTGTCTCAAGTCTAACTCGCAAATCCAAAATGTACTGAAAAGTATACTTCATCTTTTCGACTTCTTTCTCTTTGGTCAATAACTCTTTAAAGATTCCCAGTTGCCCTAGCCTCTTACGTGTTTACCGTACACTTAGTCAAAAGGTGAAAAGCCCAAACTTTCTTGCACGAATCCCCCCCAAGCAAACAAAACTGGGTTCTTATATGTTTCACGTGGATGATTAGAACATGGAGAACCCGTATCGCTCAACATCTCTTATGATACCCCATCTCAGAAAAAAAATGTCAATGAATGCTTATGCAACTCTTTTTCAATCAATGGCATTATAGTACGGCTTCGAGGTATATCTAGTTGCAAAATTGACCAAGGGAAGAATATGTCTATTCCCTTTATCGAAAACCGGATGAATAGGTCCGACAATGTCTTGAAAGAAACATCAATTAGTGGCATTTTCAGAAGGGGGTACATGTATTTGGAAATCTTGCCTTTGGCAAACGTCACAGGAGAAACATAATCTTTTTTAAAACATTGATGTGTAGTCCTGGCCAATAAAAGTCAAAAGGGTTCTCGAAGTCGCGAGAAATGACAAAAACTTGATTGAATCATGTGCAACCTAAATGACAATTTTGATTGAAATCGGAAATTTCCTCACATACCAATCTGTATACACCCGACTCGACGAGTTCCAGTGTAGCTGAAAATTATGCGGTAAATATTTTTTTTTAATTTTAGATATATATATATTTGTATGTACCATGCTAGGAAAAATTAGAAAGAAATTTTGTTACATTGCCTTGATTGTTGTTGAATGGGGGCAATTTCAAAATATGGACCATTTCTCATAGTTTTACACGAAATTACATGTATGTGCTAAAAACTTCCTAATAAACAGTGAAATTGATAAATAAAAAATATCTAAATGGTGAAATGTTTTGCATTTCACAATTTTATGCAAAATCCATTTCTCATTTAAAGAAAAAAAATCGGGGTAGCCTTTAATGTAGTGAGAAGGGGGCACATCAAAACACAATATTTGAATTTTATCTAACTAAAAAAAAAAAAAAAAGATACCGGTAAGTATAAGTCACAGTACGTTTACATAAAATCAACAATTGATTGTTGTATTGAATATGTTTTCAAAATTAAATGCTTCTTACATTATGAAAGAATTTTTCTCTCCATTCTTTATTTTTTTTTTATAACGCACAGCATTGTTTTACGTGGAAAAAGAAAATTAAAAAGGCAAACTAAACTATTTCTTCTTGGTTACATTTAAATAATTCGTAAGGTTTTTTTTTTCAAAAAAGTTTTCGATTTATACTTCATGCATATTTAGGATATCAGCAAATTTGGTAAATAAACATTTTCAATGAGAAAGACTACATGTGTTTACTTCTGATTGAAGTAGTTTTTATTACCGTTTAAGGAAGTTCAGTCGGTAGAGCGCTCGCTCCGTGATCGGAAGGTCATGAGTTCGAATCTCGGCCGCGACTGACCTAAGTCGATAAAAAATGGGTAGCAACTGTTCCTTCGCTATGCGCTCGGCACTTTGAAGTGAAAGTTGCGGGTCCTTCGGATGAGACCTTAAAAACCGAGGCCCCGTGTCACGGCAGGCGTTGGCACGATAAAGATTCCTAACTGCTCAATGGCCCTGAGTGCCGAGTAAAGGTCAAAATTTGAAGCCCTTCACCGGTATATGGTGACGTCTCTATATGAGTGAAAAATTCCCGAATGGGACGTAAAACAACATACAATCAATCAATCAATGAAGTGGTTTTTCAAACTCAAAATTTAAAACAAAATTAGCTAAAACTAATAAATCTCTATTTAGAAATTGACAATATCTCAAAATAAATTATATTATAAAACATTTATTTATCAAAACACAGGAATTTATAGAAATACCAGAATCAGTGAGTTTCAATATGCACAGTCCATACCAGGTATGCAAGATCTCGGAATATTTTTGCGAAATTTGACGTTATTGTATTCAAAGCAAAGGTAATGTGATGTGTCTGAAACAACACTGCATGAAAAACGTACATAGTTACGAAGACCAAGTAGATTATGTCTCGTTAAGTTACTTAAACAATAAAATGCTTTCTTTGGTTGTTAGTATGGGAATTAATGTCGCAGCTGTTGCAGAAAAAATACATAACCCGCGTAAGCGGGTTATGTAAATTTTTTCTGCAATAGCTGCGACGTTAATTTCCGCACTAACAAACAATGAAAGACATTTTATTATTTATATTTATATCTGCATAAGAAAAAAAAAAACATTCAAAGTGAAATCAAATATGTTAAAAAATTGTATTATAGATGTGTATGTCATTGTATGCATAATTGATGGAACAGCCTTTGCTCAAGAAATCTATGCAGGTGGCTAGTTTAGTGTCGTTTAATGACTGATGAATGGCAATGGTTTTCATAAGAAATAAAGGAAATAATATTTAGTGGATGTAAATATCATACTATGTAAGCAATTTTATTCTACTTACGTAAGTGCAAGTGTACGCAATTTGAAAACGCTTACTACTTGCAGACACACAACTTACTAAATTAAGTGATGAATTAATATGGAAGCACAATTCAGAGTGAAAGTAATTGCTCAACAATTTGTATGAAAAATGTCAGTCAACATTTCAATTAACGATAGATTGTATTTGCTGACAAGGTCATTTTAATGACCAAAGAAATTGCGAAAGATTGACTTTAAACGAGACTGTTGATATCATTTTATCATCAACATAATTATTTTTCAGTAGCTTGTTTCGTATTAGAAATTGTTCATACGTAAAACATGCCTCTTGCGTATCGAATCAACTGGGAGACAAACTCAATATGCAGGTAATTATAGTATAAATAGAGAATAATACACACCCTTTTTCATATCACATTCTGTATCAGCCCGAGACACCAATATCAGCCAGAGGGCCGAAGGCTCGAGGGCTGATACAGGATGCAATGTGAAAAAGGGTATGTTTTATTATGTTAATTACATACTTAGTAATAAAATACAGCGCATGCACATCAACTTGAGAAAAAAAAAACAAATAATCATGCATTGACTACTGACATGAAGCTTGATATATCAAAGAACAGTGATTTAAAATTAAGAAAATGTGAACAAAAAAAAAATTGATGTATTATCAAAAGTACTTTTTTTTTAAGTTTAATCTACTAGGGGTGTGATATTAAATCCTTATCAGCCCTGCAGGATCCGTATCAGCCCTGGAAGCTGATACGGCTATTGTGACATCAGGTATATCGAAATGCAAAAAAACCTGTATTTGTTACTAAGTATGTAATAAAGCTACATAAATAATTCAAGTTGA